TTACGTGTGTCCTCCTACTTTCTGGGCATTGGTAATAGTCTTGTTTTAATTCTCATATTGATGTTGATTAAAAACTCAAATTTATGTCAATTTTTAATGTACGTTTTGTTGGGTGACTTGCAATCCAAGTGCCATTAGTTTTGATTTGGTTCGCTTGTTTCTGTGGCTACTTTTAGATGAAACCTTTTCCATGACCTATATATGTTTTCGCTTTAACATCTTTTATGCATCTCAACTTGTTGCATTGGATTCCAGTCCCTTTTCTTCTCATTTAATTATTGTATTACTTCCTTTCGTGCATCCTCTCGGCTAATATGTGGACTTCGTTTTTGATTCTGCTGCACATGTAGACAGCTGTTTCTTTTGTTTATGTCATTCTCCTTGGCCGTGGAAGCACTTCATGCGTTCATACAGGATGAATCTGAACACAAGTAAGTTGGTTATGGAAACTACAATGCCCAGATACTCTACTACATTCCTAGGTCTTTATTCCAATGGTGTGTCAATTGAATCTTCACCATTTTGTGGTATTTTGCCATATATACTTAACACTACTGGGATCTCATGATTTCATTTGCTTTCCTTGTTGTTGCAAAACTTTTCTTTATTCCATTTCATGTGTCTTCGGATGGTTGTTTTTATGGTGCACTCTTATATGTGTTAGGCATCATGTATCTGAGACCTCTCCTAGTGTGGTTGATTGACTAGCTAAGCAATTCCAACTAGTGACTGATTTCTGAGGAAGTTCAATTCCATGCAACATTAAAGTATAATTCTAGGATTGTCTTCAGTAAGTCTTGTGCTGTCTCCTTACCAAAATATTTGTAGATTCATGCGTTTGTTAGGTTATCTTTAACTAAAACTGGGCAATATGACAATTGTATCAGATAATGATTGTTTTGAAGTGATCTCACTAGTACATACGTTTTTATGCGTGAATAATCATTCTATTTATCTAATTAAATTGGACCAATTTTCAAAAAATTAATTTTGCACTGCTCTTTTCATTAGATGAATCACTGCATAGAAACTTTTTGGTTCCTGCTTTTGTGGTTGCAGTTTTTCTTATGGATCTTATTGTCTGCTAATTATCTGGTTATAGGCATTACTTGATTGTTTCAGCAGTGACAAATCTACTGGTGAATCTTATTGGTGTTTGGTTCTTCAGAAATTATGCCCGTGTCAATCTTGGTAAGTTTCCAGCTGTAGTTTATGTTTTGGTGTTGAGACCCATTTGTGATTTCACTGTATGAAATTTACCATGGCACTTGTTTATGAGAGCTACTTCACCTACACCTAGGTTTAGTCTATTTGAGTTCTTTGAAAGTTCAGGCTAATGGATTCAATATATACCTTGGTGCAAGTGCAACTTAGTTAAAAGTTTGCATTGAAGGCCGCCAAGTCTTCTAGTTTTTTCCCCAACTAAATTATTGCTATTGTATGAAATTGATAGAGAGGTTTTGGCATAGCAATTCGAAAGTAAAACTTTCTATGAAACATCAGAATGATGAGATTATATTCCGTACATTTTCATCAGCCTCATTGCTGATTGTTTGTCTTTTCCAGATATATCTGGTACTGATAGTACTGGTGTGTCCATCAGTGTTCCCTTATTGCACATAAATGATTCTTACTCTTTTAAGGGCTTTGCTTTTGAGTATGAGTATTGGAAAATGAGATGTTTCTTTCCCTCCTGTACATGTTTTTTCATATGGTGTACACGTCATGCAGTTTACAGAAACGCAGAAGATATGAACAACCACTCAGTTTGCCTGCATGTTCTTGCAGATTCCATTCGTAGGTATAATATGCTCCCTTCTCATCTCTATCCCTCCATTTCTATTTCTCTAGTAAACTAATTTCCTTGTGTGCCTGCATGTTCTTTTATATGTATTTCTCATGTGAACTTTCATCTGACACTGGTAAATGGAAATTTGTTTCCCAGTGCAGGGTTGATATTGGCATCTTGGTTTCTGTCTCTGGGGTAAATACTGTTCATTCTCTCTACTTCTCTTTTCTGTTTCCCCTGATTTTTCTTCCTATGTGAGATCTGTTTTCAACTGTGTAGGGTTCAGAATGCAGAAGTTTTGTGTTTCGGACTAGTTTCAGTTGCAGTTTTTATGCTTGTAATGCCACTATTTAGAGCGAGTGGTGGTATTCTACTCCAAATGGCACCACCAAACGTTCCAACTTCTGCATTGAGCAAATGCTGGCGACAGGTAGTGTGAATTTATTGCAGTATGGTTTAATATTATGTTTTGTTAGTATTGGAGTTATTGATGTTTAATTTGGCATTATATTTTTTGTCAGATTACTGCTCGCGAAGATGTTTCTGAAGTTTCTCAAGCACGGTTTTGGGAATTGGTTCCTGGTCATGTTGTTGGCTCACTTTCAATACAGGTAACAATCATTGGAAATTAAGTTCTATATTTCTCAGTAAGGATATGCTACCTTTAGGGGCTGATTTTAGTTGGTGATGCTAACAGGTAAAGAAAGGGATAGATGATCGCCCCATACTTCAATTAGTGCATGGTTTGTACCATGATTTGGGAATACAGGACTTGACAGTGCAAGCTGACAATGTCTGAGAGTTTTGTTTCTGGTTTCGGCGTTGATTGACATTTAGTGAAGATGGTATTGGGTTGAAGTCCGAGATATAGATTTGTTCCCACTTTCATTTGAAACCATGGTATTACCAGTTGGCGAGTATTAGAAAATATAAGAGAGGAGTTTGATTGGATCCATGTCATTGTAATGAAATATTATTCTCTTTTATTGAAGAAAATTAGTTGCTCTGGTATCAGAGGTTTATGGTTCTGTTCATGTTTTTGTGGTCTTCTTTCATATTATAAATTGTTGCAATTAGAAAAGGGAGGTGGTATTGGAATTTAAAAAAAAAAAAATGCAAAAGGGAAATTTTAAGAGCATCTCCAACCGATATGTTAAATTGCCACATATGTAAAAAATAACATATAAAAAAGTTTGATGTCCCTATCATTTACTCTCCTTTAAACTTTTTTTTATTTTTTGGATCAAATAGAAAGATTCATTCAACCGTAGCACCAACCAATGATAACGTTTACAAATGAACGGAGAGCGTTAGTGTGGCCTCATTAAAACCTTGCCATCCAAAACCCCCAATGGGGGAAAATCCGGTCAAGGAAAAAGAGTACCACCGCATCTCAAAAACAAACAATGAGAGGAAGGGACTTTCTGACAATACCCGGCGTACTCTCCTTTAAACTTTATGCATCATGTGAGTCATATTTGCTTTTAAAAATATAATAAAATAATATGATAATTGGCATTTCATGCGAAGTTAATTTTTTTTCCAAAGTGTCAAATTTTCACATAAGCCATCAAATTCAAATTTAACATTTTGCATTTGACATCTCCTTTGGAGATGCTCTAAGAAGTCACTATGTTAACTGCTGAGGTGGCAAAAGTAAGACTGATTTTTGCCACATCAGCAATTAAAAGAATTTTTAACGGTCTTGTTAATGGAGGGGCTTGGTGTAGGATTTCTGTGAGTTTGAGTATGAGTTTGTAGGGTCTTCAAAGGTTGGGTACCAATTTGAAACGACCCCGAAAGTTCAGGTTTATGTAGTTGATCCTTAATTTTAATTTGTATTATTATTATTTATTTCTAGCTTCTTTTGCTTCCAAGTTCTAATTCTACAACAAGTATGCTATAAACTTTATTTTTCGTATTAACTTGACAAAATCTTTTAATCTGTTATGTAACTCAGAAACATTTCCAGGAAAGAAAAAGAATGAGACAGACATTGACTGCAGCCTGCTGGAAAACCAGCCCTTGGCTGTAAGCGGATTTAATTGCAAGGTAAAAAAAAGTGCAGCCTGCTGGAAAACCAGCCCTTGGCTGTAAGCGGATTTAATTGCAAGGTAAAAAAAAGTGGTTAAATAAAACGTCTATTACTAAATAATTTGCACATTACTACAAGATCAAAGCAGAGGGGTGCCTTATATACTTACACAAACTGCTCCCATTGGAATGTTTTTCCACCCCAAAATAAGAAAATGTTTTCCACCAAATTACATGTTGTTCTCCACCAAAGTTTAAGACTGTCAAATTCAAGGTGCTAATGACTTACCTCTACAACTTTTACTTTACCCTTCTCTTTGAAGCAAAGTTTCATTAAATGAATTACATTGACAGAAGAGCAAGGTTTCCTTTCTAGCTTCTTGGCCAAGTCATCTTCCAGTGAGATCTGTGAATGGTGTTATTTGCCCTCCAGCCAGATCAAATTCTGTGTCCTCTTTGAATGATGGAGGCATGGCTGGCCACACAAAAGCAGGCCTTTCAGTGGGCAGTGCTGGTGGATCTGCTTCCCTTGTAAGAACCTTAAGGACAGTCCTCATGGATGGCCTCAGATGCGGGTTCGGGTGGCAGCAAGATAATCCCAAAACCAGAACACATGCCATATCATCCTCATCGATGTCTCCATCCAATCTGGAGTCAACAGCATCAAGGATCCTTCCTCTGCTGTAAAGATCCCACAGCCAATACACTATGCTGTTGTTGTAGTTGTTCTGCTCGTTTTGATTACTAGGCCTTCTTCCACAGACAACTTCTAGCACAAGAACACCAAATGCATAAACATCTGTTTCGACAGTAGCCCTGCCGGTAAGAAATGTTTCTGGAGCCATATAGCCTGGTGTTCCTGCAATCTCTTTGGTGGAGTGGTGAGTTAAACCACTTTGTTGGATGGTACGAGCCAGTCCAAAGTCTCCCAGCCTGGCTATGAAATCTGAGTCTAACATGATGTTGCTGGCTTTTATGTCTCGGTGAAGCACTCTCTTTTCGCATCCATTGTGAAGATAATCGAGTGCTTGAGCTACCCCAAGTATTATGCTGTGCCTTCTTTCCCAGCTCAGTGTTGGTTCCTCTTTCTCCATCCCTAACTTGTCATCCCAGAATACGAATCTGTCTAGGCTTCCATTTGGCATGAACTCATAGACGATAAGAAGCTCATGTCTTTCATAGCACCATCCGATTAATTTGACCAGATTTTTGTGACGAAGGCTGCCGATTGTGGTGACTTCTGCTATGAATTCTTGCTTGCCTTGATGTGAATCCTTTGAGACTCTCTTGACTGCTATCTCTTTGTTTCCCAAGAGGCCCTTATAGACTGTTCCAAAGCCACCTTTTCCGAGCTTGTTCTTGGGATTAAATCTACCTGTTGCTCTTTGAAGTTCTTTGAGTTTGAATTTTTTGGGGGCCGTGGAATTTGTTTGAATCTCTTCGTCTATCTGCAGATGTGCGTCCTCCTCTTCATCTTGTCTTGTCCAGAACAAGTAAACAGAAACTCCAGTTACAAAGACAACTACTGCTGGGACCGTAATCCAAACCCACAGCAGGTTTGAATTTTCATCTATATGTGAAGAGTGGAAATCCCATGACCGTATGCAGTTTAGTTGAGTGCTATTGCTTGTGGAAGCTGAGAATCCCACATAGACCTTCTGTGAAAGATACTCAGAGAGATCAAGAGTGCGAGACAAAACTGGAATATTCTTCATTTCCTCCCTAGTTTCATTGGTCTGGGAAACAAAGATGGTGATGTTCTGGCTGTCATACCGAATTGTCACCGTGTAATTCATTTGGCTTGAAAGAGTAACACCATAGCTAAGTAAAGGAACTTGTTGAATTGAGTAAACGCTGTTTACATCCAAGCCCACATGGTTGTCATCTACATCTTCCAAGTAGCTCTTTTTTGTGTCGAATTCTACTGCCACTATGTTAGCCTGAGCAGATCCATTTGAACTTGCATTTACAATTCCAAGCCATTCTCCTTGGCTCTTCTCTGGAAGAGTGGGACTTCCGGTTAAGATAAAGGCCAAGCCTTCACCACCTGGATCGGTTTTGGGAGTGATGTTAAGTACAAAGGTAGAATTGAACAATGCTCTGCTGCGAACACCGCCTTTGCCTTTTCCCCACAGCTTGAATGGCTTTTTATATAAAAACCTTCCAGATTGATTCACGATGGAAGCCACGTTACTAAGATCAGGAGTGATCTGGATTGCACTAAAATATATGCGTGAATATTCGGATTTAATGAAATCCTTTTCATCTATGTTGTCTCGAAATGTTGGATAGCTGAAACTCAAGCCTCCTGCTGGAGTAAGAGCACCACACAAGAGGGCTAATAGGAGGAGTGCAGACCTTTGTAGTGAAGAAAGTTGCATGCTACTCATGAAGATTATATGAGTATATATACAGAGTTTAGTTTGTTGCTTTTTGTTTTTGGCAATATAGGATATAGAGTTTGAAACACAGAGAAATTGAAGGAAGAAGTTGAGCTTTCAAGGTTCAAGGAGAGCACATTCTTTTGCAAGATATTTAAGCTAATTGAGGTCAGACTAACGACTTGTATTAGGAGGAAACTTCTTTGTCAGTTTTCTCTACTTTGCTGTACATACCATGGACTTGGAATTATATTTTTATACATACATTCAACATCAAGGTGATTGCTTGTGGGTTTGTATTGTACTACTTATTCTATGTTACATCAAGGTTATCTGATACAGAGTTTGAGAGACCGAGAAATCGAAGGAACAAGTCGAACTTCAAGGTTCAATGACGAGGGCAGATTCGTTTGCAATATTTAAGCTAAATTGAAGGTCAGACTAATGACTTGTATTAGGAGGAAACTTCTTGATAAATTTCCTCTACTTCTCTACTTGAATGTTTTAAAGGCATGTGAGATCAACATACCATGAACTTGGAAGTATATTCGTTATTTATAACTGAGGTCAGGCAGTGCATAAACTCTCATATATATATTCTAACACTAAAGTCAATAGAAAAATAGATATTGAATTGGTTTGTTTCCTAAGGAAATCTACAAGGAAAGTTCATGTGAACATCAGAGTAACCTCGTCTGCAAGAAAAAGATAATGGAAAAAATATACAAGGAGAAAAACATGTTTTGTCTCAAGCAAAAGTCTAATTTTGGCTGTATTGGCCGAATTTAAAAGAGAAAACTAAAGTCTTCTAGATGAAAGTTCATGTACCTATACCAGACAGAAAAATCCTCTGCTCATGTATTTGTTCAATTCAATTTGGATTTGTATCTTGTCATGCAAGTTAAGAGGTCTCCAGAAAGGAAATTACTAAGAAGCTTGAGGTTGATTAATTCCCATATAAAATTTAGCTGCCGTGTTATGACCTCTTCAGCTGTGATGTGGTAAGATAATCACTAGCAGCTGAGGCCAGTCTTTGAATAAGTGAAATTTGCCATGGAGGTATGTACTGAAAAATAAGATAAAAAAATTGCTTCAACGGAAGAAATCAACGCACGAGAAAAAGAAAAATTAAAACTATTAGTAGTTGAACCACTCAATATATATTGTATTTTTACTTTGTCAGTTTCCGATACATTCTTCAACAGTAGTTTAACACATGAAATACACAGATGGAAGTTATACTCTCTACAACTGAAGCGGGTTTTTGTAAGATCAAAAGCACTACAACCGCGACATTGGTGGTTTGGATCTTTGTTCAAGAAGAGGGGGTGTTCACGAGCCTCGTATGTAAGAGAGTCGGAAAGAGTACCGCAATAATGTCAAGGTAGAAGCCGCTAAAACAATAGGCCAAGCCCAACTACATGTCCAGCAAGCATCATAGTCAAACAAGCTATTTAAAGGAAGCCCCTGTGAAGAGTGTGAGCTGGTGTAGGTGAAGTAGATGAACTCTCTTCGTGGGTAATTGGGCACAGGTTCTTACACTGATCTTGCTACAGGTGGCCTGCAGATAACTTTGGGAGTTTCATTCAGATTAAGTTCATCAAG